ATTTTTATTTCTGTTGTGTTTTCTATCTTGTAGGTACCTGTTTGACATTCGTTCTCTGCCATTCAATGTAATAAATGCAAAATAGTCTCAGGAGGAAAGTAAAACCCATGAAACAGAAACTTTTATTTGCATCTTAACAAATTGCAGGCAGACATTCAGTCTGGACACACATTTTCTAAACCACTCAAGTTTTATAGGTGTAATTGGAGGGGTCTCCATGAAGATATTTCTTATTCCATCACAAGGCTTTACTGGGGCACTTTTTAAGTCATTCTATAATGAAAGAGAAGAAAATCACTCTTCCACCAACCAGCCAATACATGCCTCAGTCTGCAGCAGGTAACCTAAAACAGATGTAACAGAAGCAAAATTAAGGATTGGCAGATATGCTAAGTGTAGTGGAAGGCATCTTCCTTTTTGTTGCAATTATTGAGTCAATACTGGGAGTTTTAGGGAATGGGATTATAGGACTGGTAAACTGCATTGACTGTGTCAAGAATAAGTTTTCTATACTTGGCTTTATTCTCACTGGCTTAGCTATTTCTAGAATTTGTCTGATATGGCTGATAATAATAAATGGATTTATGCAGTTATTCTCTCCAGATACGTATTACTCTGGTAAGGTAATTGAATATATGAGTTACATATGGGTAATTATCAATCAATCAAGTACATGTTTTGCCACCAGCTTCAACATCTTCTATTTCCTGAAGATAACAAATTTTTCCCACTATGCATTTCTCTGGTTGAAAAGTGGAATCAATAGAATTCTTCTTCTTCTGGTGGGATCCTTGCTTATTTCATGGTTACTTACTTTTCCACAACTTGCCAAGGCTATTAATGATCATAAAATGAAGACTAGAAATACAACCTACTGATTCAAGATGGTTAAAAATGAATACTTTATTCATCAGGTTTTGCTAAATCTGGGAGTCCTTTTCTTCTTTACACTGTCCTTAATTGCATGTTTCTTGTTAGTTTCCCTTTGGAGACACAATAGACAAATGCAATCGAATGCCACAGGATTCGGAGACCCCAACACAGAAGCTCGTGTGAGGGCAATGAAAGTTTTGATATCCTTTGTCATTCTCTTTATCTTGCATTTTTTAGGCCTTGCCATAATAATGTTATATTTTGCTATGCCAGAAAACAAACTGCTGGTGATTTTTGGAATGATAATCACATTCTGTGGTCACTCATTCATCCTAATTCTAGGAAACAGCAAACTAAAGCAAGCCTCTTTGAGGGTACTGCAGCAATTAAAGTGTTGTGAGAAAGGGGAAAATCTCAGAGCCACACAGACAAGCTTGGGGAGAAATGGATGTTCTAAGAGAATAATCCAGTGAGGAAATCCTTGAAGATCTATTTC